ACAGGCTGGCATGCTTCACTGACCCTTCCATTATTACATTCTGGGGTAGACTGGATATGCAGCTGTGTCACTGTCTCTTGTCTGAAATACCTACGTGATAATGACTATAACTAATATATCAGAAATTATGATATTTGCTTGGCAGAGTGGAGACAGAAGTTCATTCTATTCGAGCTCACAGCAGTAGCCAGACCATGAGAAAAGTCATTAAAACGATCCCTAAATATGCATAAAACCATGACTAACTTGTAATTATGCCCCAAGGCAGAAGCAGACCTTCTGCCCATGTCTTTAAAGTTCAAGTGCAGAGTCTTTAAAGCAACATGTAGGAAACTTCAGTTTATCCGATCCCCTGCATTATTGGGCACTGCAAGAGAAACCAATAGTTGGGATAGATTTAAAGAAGAAAAAATTCCACTGCAGAAGAAAGCATTCCCAGCAGATTACTACCACATGATGCCGATGTCTCCTAATGGTCCTTGTATTTAAACCATTCAGTAACAAGCACATAATCAACCACCTGTCACCCATGAGAAGTTCTCTGCACCAGAGTGCCTCCATGTTCTACACCCTGGGATATATATCTGATTTAACTACAACCACAGACTTTCCCAGAGTCAGCTAGGTGAGTCTGAAGCCTTTCAAGATCTGCTTTCTCTCTTTCATGTGCAGATAGTCTGCATGGAAAACACAAGGTCCTTTTGTGGAAAACTGGGGGAATATCCTCAAGATTCTCAGATTCTATTGGATCTGGTGGCAAGTACCATGTACACTTAGCTATGACGCCACTGAGTCCTCATGGATGCCATATGGTGTTATATTCCAGGTTGTTACAGAAATAACTTTGGAGAGGCAAGTGGAAGGGAACTGAGCCCTCAAATCAGCACTTGCTCTGTAGACTGTTCCTACCTCTTGAAAACAATTGGCTTCATGAAAGTCCAGTGAGCAAATACCTTTGAATTTATTTCCTGTTATAAATCAATGGGAAATAAACCCAGAAGTCATTTGGAAAGATCAGCATATTTGGTATTGAATGCTTCAAAAGGTCTAAAAACCAAATTATTGCTATTCAAACATATATCATGTCTCCCAAAAGTCTATTGCCTTTCTTTGGTTCTCATTCATCAGCTCAATTTTGAAAGTCTAATTGGATTTTAAGGTGCCAGAGGCTAAGATAAATTCTGTTTATAAAATAAAAGGATGTGGGCACTGTCTCTGTGGTTTTTATAGTCTGAGGAGGGAGTATAGACTTTAATAAACTAAGGTCATTGTCTACTTTTGCAAGCAGGACAAGAATTACAGAGAAGGTACTGCTTATAGAAATACTGAACCTAGATGGTCTGAATGTCACCAGACAGTAGCTAAACAGTTTTAAAGCAGCAGCTCTCAACCTGTGGGTCACCACTCTTTGGGTTCTCCAATGACCCTTTCACAGGGGTCACCTAAGGCTATCAGAAAATATAGATAGTTACATTATGGTCCATAACTGTAGCAAAATTAATTATGAAGTAGCAGTGAAAATAATTTTATGGTTAGTGGCCACCACAACATGAGGAACTGTTTTAAAGGGTCAAAGCAGTAGGAAGGTTGAGAACCGCTGTTTTAAAGCATGGACAGGTTTTAGTCAGGTAGGCAGGTGAGGCGACCACATAGCCTAACACAAAAGACATCTAAGAAGCCCTTGATACATAGCTATCAAGTGACTAGAATAGCAGAAGGACAGAAGGAAAAAATAGAGGGTGCCTTTAATTATTTTATTTTGCATGGCTGGCTGGTGTCATCACTGTCTGAGATAAAGCATGAGGTGAAGGCATTTTCTCTCCTACCCGAGTCTACAGGACCAGAGTCTCACAGAGCCAGTTGCTTAGAAGAAAGCATTTGACCATACAGGACCTGTTCATTTCCCTTCCCCAGATACATGAATGAAACAATATTGAATAACTGGGTCAGTTGGCATTGGAGATTTAACCTATTTTCACAGAAAATGTCTTTGGAGTTTGCTGGGCTGAGGCAGTACAGAGCATCTATAACTGGCAGAACAGTTTATCCTCCTAAGGAAAAGCAGAAGGAGGCAAGCATGGGCACAGAAAAGAGGGAAAGTTTGGAACCAGGCCCCTCAGAACTCAGGGAACTTAAGGATTCTGCCTCAGGTGTTGTTAGTTGTTTTTCTTATAATAAGCCTGTTTTGTCTATAGTTTTCATGAACTTTTGCTTCTTACATTCAAACATACTATATATATACATATATATGATGTATATGTATATATGTGTGTGTGTGTTTGTATGCATGCATGCATGTGTATGTATGCATGCATGTATATACATACACCACACACACACATATAAAATTTGAAGTTCTTTTCTAGAGAGAATGAATAGGCGATCTAATACACAAGCCCATAGACAAAGGTCGTGGGTGTATATATTTCAGTGTCTAAGCCTTTCTGTCCTCTTAACTTCTAAAGCAGTCTTGCTTTGACTCCTTCCACTTGATAGGTGTAGTGGAGGATGGCAAATATGAGGGTCATCATTCCAGTTTTTCAACAGAGAATCAGCGATGGTGAGAAGGTATATGCTGTAGTCCTCACCTGTGCCACTCCTCACACTGTAACAGCGACAGTAGCAATACCAGCAATTTCATATAGGGAAGGGCAGCTGGAACCTGGGGTCACAGCAAAGGAAAGCTTTAAGAATCAAACAGCACCATAGGCAGAAAGGTGAGAATGAAGTGCCTTGGAAATGGTTTTACATTTTCTGAACAATCGTTTGAACTAGAACGCCCAGAGAACTGATTTCCGCCTAGGCTCTGTCTCTCTTTCACCTTCCCAAGCTGTATCCTGACTGTGGTTTTAGGTTTTATTTTGAGATGGCATTTAACTAAGTTGTGCAGGGTGACCTTGACCTAGTGATCTCCCCGCTTCAGCCTCCCAGGTAGCTGCTGTTACAAGCCTGTGCCACCAAGCTGGAGGTGGAAGATGGGAGCTCTCTCTTCCATCTCCTAATTCACCATTCCCCAAAAGAGTTGTGGAATAAAGGCATCTGGGCTTTAACACAGAGACTATTTAAAAACTATCAGGAAACTATCTCAAAAACTTCTCAAACTCTCGGTTTTATCCACTTATAAAAAAGATAAAGCAATATCTCCTTTGTGCCAATGAGACAACATCAGATAATAATGTAAAAGGTTTGTATACATACATACATACATACATACATACACACACACACAAACACAGGCACACAGAAAGACACATACACAGACACAGATACATACAGAGACACACACATATAAACATAGACAAATACAGACACACACAGATGCACACAGACATTCAGATACATACAGAGACACACACATATAAACATAGACAAACACAGACACATACAGATGCACACAGGCATACACATATACACACATACACAGTCACAGACACACAGACACACACAGACACATACAAACACAGAAACACATACACATATACAGAAACAGACAAACAGACAACATAAAGACACACATACAGATACAGACACACAAATACATGTGGGACTGTGTAAGGGTATCCTGGTTCCTGGTTGGGCATGGGCCTAGAACCCCGAGACTCTACATGAGAACCAGCAGGAGTTCGGCTGTGCCCCCAGAACCCAGGGTCCTGAAAAGCAGTCCAGTCTCCATAGAATTACATAGTTCAGTCACATAGGCTAGACTATAGGCCTCAGGTCCTAGGGATTTACATCCTAATGAAGGCCAGACAGCCCCTCCCAAAGTGCACAGGTAGAGGGTGTGACTAGAGGCCTCAGGCCCTAGGGATTTACATACTAATGAAGGCCAGAGGGCGGAGCAAATTAAGCATGCTTCCTCAGATCCTCCCCCGATCCTCCCCCTTTCTCCCTTCCTATTTAACGCAGGACTGCCCTGAGTTTTACAGGGGTACGCCCAGATCCATCCACCATCCGCCATGACAATAAACCTTTTGGAACCAAGGACTTCCTTGTGTCATTGGGGCCTGTCGCTGCCAAAGCCTCCAGGTCTCCGGAACCCTAGACCTCCTCCTGCATGTGGGACCCGCCAGCGTGGAAAGCCTCTGGGACTCCACCACCACTGTGGCCTTTTATTTTTTCCCCATAGATACATACAGAGACACACATACTAACATAGACAAACACTGACACGCACACATACACATAGTTACAGGCACACAGAGACAAATACACACAAACACAGACACACAGACTCATATACAGACACAGACACACAGATATATAAAGACACACACACACACACACAGAGAGAGAGAGAGAGAGAGAGAGAGAGAGAGAGAGAGAGAGAGAGAGAGAGAGAGAGAGTCTGGTTGGTTGTTTTGAATATTTCCTCCTCATTGGAAATGTTTCATTCTGCAGGGACTCTTCCCATGCACGGTGGAGGCATGGACCACCTGGGCTGGGTGACTGTAAAAGGCTAGAGAAAGATGCTGAGACACCTGTCACTTGCTACTTCTGGATTCAGTTTTATCTGAACACTGGATTCCTACATGTGGTTCTCCAGGTCCACAGTTTGGCTCCCCCTCTCCAATACAGTGAAACCCAGGCACTGAAGTATCACAGTGTCAGGTTCAGGGTAGGACACTTGAGGAACTGTATAACAAAACAGAGGGAGGCCTCTGGAATAGTCAAGTTAAAGTTGCCCATAAAATGGAAGGCAAAACCAAAGAATGTACTCAATGCAAGCTCTATTCAACATTATCTCCAAATTACTTTGGTTAGATTATGATTTGATTAGACGGATGAATATACTTTCACCACCTAATAATGTATAACATCATCAAAACGACTTTGACTATTCAACACTGATGTTTTACCCAGCATCCTCATCACTTGAAAAAGTTTACCTTCTAGGACAACAAAAAAGTTTTAAATTACAATGCATTTAAACACACAAAACCTCATAAAAAATAAAGACAAACATCACTTAACTTTAAAATATTATAAAGTTGATGTCTCACCTCTGCTTCAATACTCTTTGGTCAATGACTCTATTGTCAAGGACAGCTGGACACAAAAATGTCTGGTCCCCGTGGCTGGCGAGACTGGGGTTTTGTTCATACCTGGAACAAAGTGGAAGAGCAGTGGAATGGTCATGGGATGTTAAATAGATGCAATAACCATTGATCTCATGATGTTTGAAGGGGAAGCTTCAGCCCATCTTCATCTTATCCAAGATCACATGAGACTCATGGCTAAGAACAATGCAAAGAAGACCCCATATCTCACCTCACACAATGCTCCTCTATGGAGTAGGCTGATGCCAGTTCACCTTACTGCCTTCATCAGTCTGGTAGAGGGTGTGTGTGTGTGTGTGTAGAAGTCAACCTCAGATTTCATTCCTCATGAACCATCCACCTTGTTTTATTATGAATAGGGGCTTGCTGATTTTTCTAGGCTGGCTGAACAGTGGGCCCCAAAGTGTCTGCCTTTCCCCAACTCCCCAGTACAAGGCTTGCCATTACACCTGCCCTTTCATGTGGGTGCTGTATAATGAACTTACGTCTTCAGTCTTCATTACTAAGCCATCTCCTCAGCTCTTGATCTGATATACTATCTGGCGTATTTTTAAGTGGTGTTAAAATAAAACTTTCTTTTGTGATGGAGAATCTGTGTTTCTCAGTCTTCCAGTGAAGACAAGTGATTGATCATGTCAGATCTCTCCTCCACTCCCTACAATTTTCAAAGGAAGGTTTGTTTGTTTGTTTGTTTGTTTGTTTATTACTGTAAAATCTCTTCATCCACCCTCCATCACTTTCAAGTGAGGAAACCCAGGAGTCTAGAATGGAAGGCAGCTTTCTCATGACCACAGGCTACATAATAATAGTGTCAGAATCTGTACCTCTGTACCAAATCCAATAAAAACAACTATCAAGAAGCAACTGCAAGCCACACATTACTGTTATCTGTGCAGTTCTGAGTTGGATGTTTTCTGTTGAGATTTCTTTTGCAAAAATAGTGTATCAGGCAACCACTGAACGGAATTTTGTTCAAGTTAAAGCCCATTTGCTCTCTTTGGTCTAACTCTATTATAGACTCTTAAGAATGGGCCAAAAGAATAATTTATTCTATATTTCATCTTTGGAATGGGGTCAAACTAAAAATAGTAAAAAGTTCAATATATACCCAAGGTTAGACTAGTAGTATCAAGTGTAAAAGGAACCTGAAATCATGTGTTTATTTACATAACTGTAGGGTTACGTTACATTTCCTGTCTTTATTAAATATTTTCTACACATTTTATTCAACGGTATGTATTCATATCTGCTTATTATTGTCCTCAACTGCAACTTATTTTTCAAATGAAAATATGTTTGGCAAATATGACCAATAAACAAGTTGAGATTTTATACCAGAATACTTTCACCAAAAACAAGACTACACAAACCCTTAAAGTTGAGCTTGCTAGCTAGAGCAAGAAACACAACATTCATAAATCTCCGGGCTACCAGAATGCCCAGTCTAGGCTACAGTTGAAACTAGTTGTCATAACCAGTTAAGAAATTGCATAACTGACGGAGAACTGTGTTGGTCTGGTAAAGGGAGGGTAGTCTTGCCCCAAGATTGTGGTGTTTCATGGTGTGAATTCAAACAGTTCAGAATGCAATGACTTTCTCAATGTGCACATGAAGAAACAAGACTCCCAAACATGGAGCAGAATGAATCCAAGTCATCTGGTAAAACCAAGAATGAAGTCCCAGGCTCTTGGCAGCCCCACCACTTGCAGTGTGCTACAGAGCAGAGAAGCAGATTTATGGGCTGCCAGTTTTCTTCTAAGCTGTGCCCAGGGCAAGATCAAGATTCCAGTCAACGGGGAGGTACTTTCAGCTCAAAAGTATTAGCCACCCAAAAGTTCTGGGAAGTGACATTGCAGTCTCTTTGAAGCTCACCCCTCCCCTTTTCTGGAGAGGATTAAAAGGTCACAGTGGGAACTTCACACAAATGTCACAGCCCCAAGACCCTGCTGCAACCATTCACGAAAGAGGTCCTTCAAATAAATCGATTGGAAGAATTTCCGCTCTGACTTCCTTTATAACTATTGTTATTATTAGTTTTTAAAGACAACAAATATCTCTATACCTTAGACTAGCCTCAAACTCATAGCTATCCTTCTGCCTCAACCTTTCAACTCCTGGAATTACAAGTCCACATCTTCAGCTCAACTTAAGAATCGCCCTTCATGGCTACCAAATAATCCAAATACTCTAGAAATCAAATTACTTAAGCAAAGTCTCTCTAGGGTTATATTGTTTATCAAAAAAGAGAGAAATATTTATAATTACAGGCCTAATTTCAGAAAAGGCAAAAATAAAATGATACCATCCAATATCACGTTTTAAAAAACTGAATGGTGATTGGTTAATAGCAAAAAACCTTAAGAGTCTTGCCCAGTCACAGATGTGGAAATACTAAATCAGAGTGCCTGAGAGGATCTTGAGGCATAGATTAGTAATAACAAACATTTTAATTGATGAATCATGTTACCATCCCTTCCCATTACAGAATCAAGAGATTAAAAACAAACTAACAAACACAGCCACCCTCCAACTTTAGAGCTTCTATCTGACACTAAATTTTCTACATGATTTCCCTGTGTTTCTGTCACAGTGCTCCTTATTTTACGGTTAGTTTTTAAAGAATTATGAAACTCAATTGTGGCAAAGTGGTTAGTAAATTCTACTGTGAAGGCCTTGAGAAAAGTATCAATTAGTTACCACAGAGACCTAGGCAAATAAACACACAAACAAACACATAGCTTGGGACAAGGCAAAGGAGCTGCCACAGGTCCTTGTAGTAGGTCAGTTACAGCAGCTCATCCCGTTCCTACACTTAATCCACACGTTTCTACTGTGGGCTCCACACCACGTAGCATAGGAGCTTAGTGCCTGCAGGACTGCCTTAACAACCACAGTCGGTTTCTAACGAACTGTGGAAAGAAAAACAACAAATTCTGACTCAACTCTTCATATGAGCTGGTCAAATATTAGAAATCCTGTGCATACTATCTAGCTGACAATTGTCCAGTTTTGAAAGCTTTGATTCTCTGTCATGAGGCAACAGTCACGCAAAAACAGGGAAAGAAAACCAAGCCGCTTCCCTCATGTACTCACTCAGGGGCTGCTTGTGCCGGGATCAGCATGGATGTCTCTGTGGGGCCTCCCGTGGGCTTCAGTCCTTGATTGCTCTGCTTGTATTTCTTAACGAAGTCCATCAGAACAGCCTGGTGTCCAATTTTCTTTACCAGTTGCTGTACCATCCGATCATTAAGGGCCAGGAGTGCGGCCCCACTGACTTCTTCCTCTGGGAAAAAGAAAATTAACTTTCATATTACTTTCCAGGAAAACATGGGCACAGAAAGAAGATAAAACTAGTTCTAGCATTAAAAGGACCATCTAAGCTTAAGATGACGGTCACTGCATTATTTATCAGGGCTTTGATACTGCATAGTTCCAAATTGATGCCTACTGCTAAGAAATCACCAGAACACGAGTCCCAATAAAAACTTTGTTTGCACATTAATACCCTTCCTCCAGGCCAATTTTAACAGCCAACAGAAATAGAAGTTTTTTGGGGAAGCTATTTTTATAACACCTCCTAGTTGATATTTAACATGGGCACATTCCATACTGTATAAAACACAAACGATTATATAAGACAAAAGAAACACACAGTCTGTATCAAATGCAACCTCCAAGAGTTTGCAATCATCTGGAAATGGCATTCTCTTCAGAGGATGCTAGGTAAACTGGAAACTGCCCCAGCTTGTGAGACAGAGATGAAGTTCCTCATCAGAACAGCTCCTCATCCACAACAGACAGACCCTAGGCAACAGAAGCAGCCTTCACAACAGAGGGCATCCGCACAATTGCATGGCTCAAATACAATCCACTCGAAGTATATAAACAACTTACCTTGAAATCTGGGAACTAGCTCGCTCAAGTTTTTCTCCACCAACCATTTGCAGACCTGATCAACTGACCACGTTTCCATTGTCGAATTCTTGTCAATACACCTGTAGAATGAGAAGTGGGGACAGCTTGCTTGCTTGCCTGTCTGCCTTCTTCCTTCCCTTCTTTCTTCCTTCCTTCCTTCCTTCCTTCCTTCCTTCCTTCCTTCCTCCCTCCCTCCCTCCCCCCCTCCCTTCCTCCCTTTCTTCCTTTCTTCTCTCCTGATTATTAGTCTTTGATTAGTTTTTAAACAGTGAGCTTTCTCCTCTGCTAAACACCTTTCAATACTTGGCTTTTTAAAAAAATTAATGTTTTTACAATGCAACACTTAAAAGTTGCTAATAAAACAAATAGTCGCTTTAGAGGTGGATTTTAGCCTATTTTCTAGTCTCATTTCTTCATTTTCTCCTGCTTGATTTCCACAGGCATCCCTCAGCTTAACTAGCAGACAGCCGGAGCATACAATGATACCCAATCCTGTACCATTAACACCCAGGTTTCTTCACAAAGAACAGAAAGGTGTGAAATCATCAGGAAGTGGTTGACATTTATAGAGGGGTGGGCAGGGGAGAAAGGGAGGAAGGATCAGATAAAAGTCTGACTGAGAGATGCTGTAAACCAGGATGTCTTAACCCCTTACTGTTCCCAGATAGGAGAGGGCCATTCCACTGTCCTCACAACCGTGGGTTAGCAGCAAACTCTTTTCTCAGAGGAAACTAGCCTTATGAACCATTCTCCCATCAGTCCAATGTTACGCCTACATACTTGAGTATGCTCTCAGAGAGTACCAAACACTATTGTAACATATCTATCTATCTATCTATCTATCTATCTATCTATCTATCTATCTATCGCTTTACCAGTTACAATGTATGTATATATGCACATATATGTATATATACAAATATGTAACACATATATACATATACATAGATATACATATATATGTATGTATATCCACATGTATATACATGTGTACATACATATATGCAAATATAGACATATATGTATATACACGTGTGTATACATATATCTGTATATATGTGTGTGTGTATATATATATATTTAGTTGGGCAGATTAAATTAGGAAATTACTGAAAATCTTAATGTTGTCTAAGTGAAAGAAGCAAACACAGACTTTTCATGGTTCACTCTTAACTGCCCCACTAATTTTGCGCCGCCAGACCAGTCTACTACCTTCCAAACTTTTTCAATTTCCTTGAGGAAGCTTTTTTTTTTCTGTCTTTATAATTCAACCCAGGATACTTCTAAGGAATTGATAGAAACAAAAACAGTCTTAAAATCTTTTAACGTTTCTGCATTACTTGCAATGTTGAATTTTATTCCAGATGTTTTATCGTTTTGCTAGTCCAGATGATTTATCATTTTTGTTGTATGATACCAGCTATTTTGTAAAGACAAAGTGAAAAGGTCCCCTTGATGAAACTGGAATATAGGAGTGTGTGTGTGTGTGTGTGTGTGTGTGTGTGAACATCTTTGCAGTTTTTGATTTTGTATTTTTATAAACACAATTATAATGATGTTGGTAAATTATAGTTACCAACATCAGAAAAATAATCACCAGTGGGAAGAACAAAAATGTACCCAACATTCAAGAAAACCTGACAATAACAGCCTTCAAAAGCAGTTTCCTAGAAAATAAGAAACTTCAAAGTAATGGGCCACATACTCCTAAGTATCCACAAACACTGACTGGAAAACCTGAAAACAAGGGTTAAATACAGAAGAACACCTTTCGAATTTCAACAGTGGATTTAATTTAGTTCAGCAAACAGTAGCCACAAAGCTCCTCCCCAGGCTAAGCAGCAATTGCAGGGTGTAAAAAGTCATTATTTGCAAGACTCTGGTGTAAATTAAAAATCACACCTTTCTGTCACACTTCTGGCTTCCTTGTGAAGACTAAGAGTTAGAAAAAATTGAAAAGAGACAGAGAGGGAAAGAGAGAGAGAGAGAGAGAGAGAGAGAGAGAGAGAGAGAGAGAGAGAGCCCACATCTGAAACACCAAGGTTAGACAATATGCAGAGTAGGAAGACCTGCCCTGGAGTCAACCATTAAGAGAAGAAAGGAAATCAGAAAAAAAAATAGCAGTTAGAAGCATAGATTCTTTCTTTTTTAGTTGAGAAAGGCTTTCTCCAGTTTGCCTCTGGTAAAAACATAATTATCCAATAATGAACTTGGACAAACATAAGAAAATAAAAATGGGTAGTTTATTACTCTGAATTTTCTGAATATTAAATAAAATACTATTGTTGACTAGCCAGTTCAGTATCAGCACAAAGGGAAAAGCACTCCTCCATCCAATGAGAAAAATAAATGTTTCAAGTAGCTTCGTGTTGAGTTTCTGGAACCTTGAAAATATGTCCAAAGGTCAAGTAAGCACTAACTCTAAATACTTTACACAATAGCAAGAAAATAACGAAGGAAAATTTCCAATGTGTGAGAGCACCAGCCAACAACTCTAAGTGGATTAAGTTTTGCTTTAATGAGTTTAAGTTTGTATTAAATATTAAAGGGGTGCGTCCATCTAATTAAAGTCGCACAGAGAAAAGACTTGAGGTAAAGCACCTTACATAGGAGGGAATTTTATTTAATAAATTTGTTAGACTCCAAGGAAGATAATAGGGTAGACTGCTGTGAACATGATTCAGAATTTCTAATATAACACAAAAGCATTAACCGCCAAGTGGCAGTTTTTTATAATTTAATAAAATATTAAAAGATTTTGTCTCTTTTTTTCTGTTTCCACTTTTTACTTCCCTACAGTTTAAAAGCAGAGACAAGAAGATTCCTAGGTCCTTTGCCGACAGTGTGTGAGTTCACTTGGATCAGTCCCTTAGCCCAACAAAGAGCTTCTACCTTTAGAGACAGAACAAGCCATGGAGCAGAAGTAGCCCAGGCCACAGCTGTCACATGGTCCAGGGTCACGTGGTCCAGGGTCTAGGCCGCTGTGCACTTAGCAGTCTTCGTAGCATCTGAGGTGACAACATTGTGGTGCTCAGTGGGAATCAGCATCATATCTACTTTGACCATTGTTCGTCCCACCCGTCACTAGACAGGATGGACTGCAAACTGGAATAATCAAGTAGAATACCTTGCTTACTTTAGTCATTAAGATGTTTGCTGCAGATAGCCCGGATCTGGGTAAGTGGATGCACACACATCTGTAGCCTTCCAAAAAAAAAAAAGACACGTTACCAGATAAGCAGAGCAGGAAGAGCCAGTCAGGGTGGGCAGCAAGGTTGGGAAACACCAGGCTGCTGGCTGGATCCTGACCTGGAATGTGACAGATGTGGTTTAAACAGCGGAGGGCTGGGAAAGGCGGGATCTTTGTAAGTAAGCCGGTGCTGCTTCTGAAATGGGAACCACATGGCAGACAGCGCTGTTGGGAGCTCTGAGCTGAGTTTGTAGTTAGGCTTAAGCTTGAGAGTGTTGCTGATTGATTGGGTGTTCCATGCTTTCAAAAGATTATGTAGGCGGCAAAGCCAGAAAACTGCCAGAAAGAATTCTTTTTTGAAGTAAATGTTGCATGATTGCACGAGATTATATATATATATATATATATTAGTAAAAATATCTATCTTTTTATGGAATCATATTTTAAAACTATGGAAGACCTAGACTTTTTACTGGGCACTGATATAACCATCAAGTTTCTGTCATTTTTTGAAAGCTCAGATTTTGTTTTAAATACTTGAACTCTTCTGGGAATAACATTTTGGTTGATTTCCCATTAATTTTTGCCAGAAAAACATCAACAACTACAGAGCTGGCAGATACCAAATAAAACACAACCAATGAGGCTACCCATGAAGCCTATGAACCAGCGGATTCTGGACACCTAAGATTCTGCGGTTGAAGGTGTTTGGTGAGCAGAAGTTCACTTGTATAGTCTGCACAAGATGTTGGGCTAAATTTCCAGCACCCCCACACAAAAGTTTGCAGTGCATAAACTGTATGGTTACAAATTATGATTGTCTTGATTCTGTAACTACTGTATCTTGACTCTTTGGCTCCAGCAGTGTATCTCGGAGGGACCCTCCAGTGAAATCGAGGAAGACAAGAAAGAGGGAGCACAACAGTAGTTACCAGGTTTTACTTACTGATTACTGTGTGTGCACCATGGGAGTGACAGAAAGTGAGCTCATGCCCCTGCGTGCTGCGGAGGTCACAGAATGACTTTGTGAAGTGAGTCTCTCCTTTCACGTTTACATGGGTTCTGGATTGATCTCCCATTGGTGGCCTTGTCCTTAACTTTTATATTCTTATATTCGCTGAGAAACAGCCTGAGAATTTTAATTAAAATAGTGAATTCAAGCTGCCATGCATAGCTGCTCCAGTGTTTCTGATCCCCATAAGAGTCCAGTATTTCAAGGACACCTGGTTCGCTTGTGCTCTTAATCAAATTTGTTTCATGCCTGCTTCTCATAACTTTATGGTCAGAACTCAGGAATCAGAGATCTCCGAAGAAATCTCCCTAGCTCTTGCCAGAGAGGGTGACTTCAATCTGCTGTTGTAGCTGTTGGTTCTTGCAGAATTCATTTATAAATTGCAAATAAAATTAATGTTTTACTTTCTAGGATTCTAGTGTTCATTCTTTAAAAAAGGCTGAAATGCAGCAGGCTGGGAACACATGGAGAGGGAGGGTGGAAAGGCAGAGAGGGGAGGAGGCAAGCATCACTGCCCATCGTTAAAACTTGGCCATCATGAGTGCTGCTCACTGACAGCAATTCTGAATTCCCAGCCTTTGGTGACAAGTGTCATGCCTTCTATTTCTATGAAGTTTAATTTTAATTAAAATTTTTTTTGACAGTTTTACTCACATGTGTACTTCCCTTGGACACTTCCAGCCACCATTATTCTCCTTTACATCATTCTGAACCTTCTTCCTACAAGCCTCTTCCTGATTTGCCCCACCCCCTTTTTGGATGCACTTGGTTTAGTCATGATTGCTTGCAAAAGGAGGGGTTTATTTACTGGAACATGGACACCTGTTCAGCGGCTACACTGCTTAAAGCAATAACCCTATTCTCCAGGACCCACTAATAACAGTAAGGACAGGGCCTTATGAATCCGTCCTCCATA